GTCTTTGACCAATAAGACTAGACTTAGTAACCTGGTTAAATTGGCTGGTCAGATTTCAGGGAGGTCTAAGGTCCAGCTTGTGGACTTTTATAACAGGCACTTGCTGTGGAAGACAACCTCTGTTGTATTATGTTCAGACCGTCCTCTGAGCATTACACGACAGTGGACATACTGCAAATCAATTTCCCACTGGGGACAATAAAGTTTGATCATGGGTGTTCCTACGCTGGAGATGTCATGAATATTTGAATGAAGATGAGTGCAATAGCTTTGAATGACACTGTGTTCTGTCATTATTTGTTCACATATTGAAATATCGTCATTCAATTATTTGGAGCAACATTTTGAAATGTAGGAAAAATGTCTCAGAATTTAGTGTTTGAATGTTTCTCGTATTTAAAAAAAATCAGTCTCTCTAACATCTAAATGGTTCTTTTCTCCCTTCCTGTGATTTAAGAAAAACCCTCACATTCGCGTCCTCCTGAGACCCCGCCCATTCATTTATGTTTCATTTATGTAGTGGACACAAACACAAAAGTTAAACTGACAGATGCTTTTTTTCATGGTATTGCATTGATCACTGCTTTTTTTTCATTATTTCAGGGTGACCACTGGACTGAACTACCTCTGATCAGCTTTTCTGGAACTGAAAACTCAATGTTTCCCCTCAGCTCAGAGTTTGGGGTCAAACAAAGGCCCTGAGCTCACAGTCACTACCTCTCATACTAAAGTGTAGAAGATGAATAATTGTGTGGAAAATGAGAAGGACAGCGCCAACTCTTCACAATGTAACAGCAAGCAGTCCAAAGCAGAGCCACTGGCCTTCAGTAATGAACCCAGAGCCTTGGACACAAAGTAAGAGAACCGCCACTGACTTATTTTTAATCTCTTTATCCCAGAGATGGCATATTATATATACAACAGTGTAAATTAAGTAGATCCTGTTTCTGCTTTAAACTGTAGTGTAACTTTCTTAAGATGAATTGTGGAGAGAGTATGATAAGCTGGGAATATTGAGTGTATTTCTGTGTTTCAGATATTTGCTGCAAATGATTTCTAGTTGAGAGAGAGAAGAATTAACGTGGGAGATTATCCTGCCTGATTCTTAATTTGTGGTTGTTGTTGTTTTTTTTTTTAAAAAAGAAGAAAATTAATGTTATTATCATGAACATCATATGAAAGACCCACATGATCAATAGTGTGTCTCACTGTGAGACTGTGCCTCACCCTATCATGTAACTTATTTAGGTCACCTGTCCTGCTCTTCTGCGTCGTGCCATGCATTTATAAAGATCTAAGCATTCCACGCTGCACTGGACAGCATATACTACATCCTTAAGTTTGTGTTTGGGAGTTTTGCCTTTGGGATAAACCAGTTTTTCCCTGAGGGAGTGGCTGGGTCGGAAGTACACTGGGATCCAGTGCAATGTGTCAATCCCTGGCTACCAAAACTAGTGACTTGGGTCATGGAATGTCACCTCTCTGATGGGGAAGGAGTATGAGTTAGTGCATGAGGTTGAGATATATTTACTAGATATAGTGGGGCTCACCTCAATGCATGGCTTGGGCTCTGGAGCCAAACTCCTGGTGAGGGGCTGGACTCTGTCTCAGTCTGAAGTTGTGCCCTTGGTGAGAGGCAGCGGGCTGGGATGCGTGTCCTAGTATCCCCTCTGCTTGCTGCCTGCATGTTGCGGTTTCTCCTGGTGGACGAGAGGGTTTGTTCTCTGCAACTTTGGGTTAGGGAATGGGTGCTGACTGTCACCTGTGCTTATGCGCTAAATGACAGTTCAGAGTACCCAGCCTTCTTGGAGTACCTAGGCAGGGTGCTTGAGGGTGCTCAATCTGGGGACTCATACGGGGAGACTTCAACGCTCATCTGGGCAATGATAGTGAGACCTGGAGGGGCGTAATTAGGAGGAATGGCCTGCCAGATCTGAACCTGAGCAGAGTTTTGTTATTGGACTTCTGTGGACCACAGTTTGTCCATAATGGACACCATGTTCGAACATAAGGGTGTCCATAAGTGCACATGGCACCAGGGTGGTTGGTACCTGTCATGGTAGAAACCCCCAAACCAAATGGTGGACACCAGAGGTGAAGGGAGCCACCAGAAGGAGTCCTATCGGGCTTGGTTAGCCTATGGCATATCAGAAGCAGCTGAAAGGTGCTGACAGGCCAAGCAGAATGTTTCAAATGCAGGTTTGACAGGTTTGTGAGTGTACACTTTATCCAAACCTAGTGAGGGTTTACTCATGTTTACCACTGGGTGTCTGTAGCTCAGGAGGTAGAGCAGGTCACCTACTGATCGGAAGGTTAGCGTTTCCATCCCTGGCTCCTCCAGTCTGCATATCAAGAGTGTGAATGTGTATGAATGTAGTTAGAAAGCACTCAATTTAGAAAAAGTGTCTGATTGGGTGAATGTGGCGTGTTGTATAGAGCACTTTGAGTAATCCGGGTGAGTAGAAAAGTGCTATATAAGAATCAGTCCATTCACTGTCTGAACAGAGTTTCATCATGTTACTTTTGCACTATTATGTTCCGGCACATGTTGTTATTACATGGCTTGATTAAGGTACACATTAGGCTGACATCTGGGGCCAGAGCTGAAACTGTTCTGGGCCAGCACAGGGCCAGCAGTGTGTCTGCAACTGGCCCGTAGCGCAAAGAATGACGGCCCTTTGGTGGCCCAGATCAGGGCCACCAAAGGGCCATCATTCTTACGTATGTGGGCCATATGTAAGCACATTGTGTGGGCCAGATCCGGGCCATACCAATTTTGCTATGTGGGAAGGGGATGAGAGGCTTCTCGGCTTAGGCTGCTGCCCCTGCGACCCAGCCCCAGGGAAGCGGAAGAAGAAGAAACTGGATGGATGGATGGATGGATGGGTTTCAAGGTGATTTGTGAGGGAGAGATGTGTTTCGAGTCATATCGAAATGTTATGAATTCTGAAGTAAATCTGTTGTTTTAATCCTTCATGTTAAAAAAAGAGACAAGGGGGCTCATTAAAATATGAATTTGATACTTTTGGATGCCAGTAGCTTAAAGTAGAGCATGTCTTTAAAAGGTCTAAAGGAAGCATAAATTTAATTCAAGTCTTCAGTTAAAACAGAAAAGTAGATGCACGCTAACCCTTCACAGTGACTATCCAGGATTTTACATGTTTTGTCAGATCTAGATCTTTTTCACTTACACCAAATGATGAAAACATTTGTTCACAGAGAGAGGAAGAGGAGTGGTGTTTGTGAGGAGGAGCAGCTGTCCTGCTGTG